TTTCCCATTAGATTGCAAAGCATTTAACCCACATATGGCAGCCTCAGTACCCCCAAATTTTTCCAAAAATTCATCCCTAATCGAGGCCAATTTTTTCATCAAATGCGAATCCCTATGGTGTGGGGAAAAATCCCACACACCACGGCCCTTAAGGTACACACCATGGATCCATTTGACCCAGAGGGTGTCCTTTTTTGTGTGAACATCCCAAAATATTTTTGCAAGAAGGGAAGAGTTCCATACTCTAGTGTCATGGATCCCAAGGCCACCCTCATCTTTAGGAAGGCAAATGTCGGCCCAAGCAACCCTACAAAATTTACCTCCCCAAAGAAATATGCGACAAATAGTGGTAATTCTGTCAAGTATAGTCCTAGGAATAGGAAAAACTTGGAGCCAAAAAGAATGAACACCTTGTATCACAGACTTGATAAGTTCCACTCTACCAGCATATGACAAGGTTTTAAGATTCCATGCACTAATAAAGTTAGTGACCGAGTCAATCAAGGGGGCATATTGTGCAACGGATACCTTTAGAGGGGCCAAAGGGACCCCAAGGTATTTAACCGGAAAAGCCCCTACCTTAAAGTCTACCAGTTCAAGGATACTGTTAAGATCAAAATCATTCATGCCACCAAGAAAAATGTTGGATTTATCATAGTTTACCACAAGACCAGAGATTCTACCAAACTCTTCCAAAGAATCAACAAGGATCTTAATGGAAGACTTATGCCCTTTAGAAAAGAGCATTAAGTCATCCGCATAAGCAACATGAGAGATCTTCAAGCTACCACACTTGGGATGGTATTTGAAACCTGGTTCCTGGGTTCTCACATTCAACAATCTAGATAAGTATTCCAAACATAGTACAAAAAGGAGGGGGGACATGGGGTCACCTTGCCTCAGGCCCCTTTTACCTTTAAAATGGCCATGGAGGACACCATTTACTGAAATGGAGTAAGAAGGCGTGGTGACACATTCCATAATCCACCCAATAAATCTCCTAGGGAAACCCAGATGTTTAAGCATATCAGCCAGAAAGTCCCAGGATATGGTATCATAGGCTTTTCTAAGGTCAACTTTGATCATACACCTTGGAGATATTCTTTTTCTGGTATAACCCTTAACAAGTTCTTGGGCAATAAAAATATTATCAATCATAAGTCTGCCATCAACAAAGGCCCCCTGGGCAGGGTCAACAAGATCAGGCAAACAAGGAATCATCTTTTTAGCCAAGATCTTAGTAATCACTTTGTAGATGACATTAGTACACGCAATGGGTCTAAAATCAGCAACTGTAGGAGCATGGTTGGTCTTAGGAATTAAAGCAATAACCGTGTGGTTGAGTTGCTTAAGAATTCTACCTGACCCAAAGAAACCCTTAACAGCATTAACCATATCATTACCAACAATATCCCAATTTTCTTTAAAGAAAGCCGAGGTGTACCCATCAGGGCCAGGGGCTTTATTGTCTCCTATATCAAACAAAGCCTCCTTTATGTCTAGATCAGAAAGTGGTGCAATGAGGTTGTCTTTCAATAGTGGGGGTAAGGTCTTACCCGAGGAGACAATGGTAGGGTCCAAAGGAGAATTTGGATAGTAAGTGCCAAACAAGGATGTGTAAAAATTCACCAATTCATAAGCAACTTGATCAATTGAAGTAGTAGGATCCCCATTAGGAAGCTTAAGAGCAGTAATGAAGTTCCTAGTATTGTTCTTCTTAACAATAGAATGGAAGTATTTAGTACATTTATCACTTTGAACAAGATATGTTGCTTTAGCCTTTTGCCTAAAAAAATCTTCCTCAGCCTTTTTAATATTAATAAGTTTTTTCTTGCATATAGCAATGTTCATCTTAAGAGCCTCATCAAGAGGTGAAATCATAGAGAGACTAAGCAGCCCCTTATATTCCAACTTAGATTCCTTGACTCTCTCGGATATGTGACTAAAGTTCAGCTTATTCAGTTCTCTAAGAGGTTGTTTCAAATATTTCAATTTTTGGGCCAAAATGAATTGAGAACTTCCATATACATCCTTACACCAAGAGGAAGTAAGAGTAGATTTGAAAGTGTCATGTTTGAGCCACATGTTAAAGAATTTGAATGGCTTAGATCCAAGATTGTTGGTTTGGCCGAGAGTGACTAAAGAAGACACATGGTCAAATTCAACTTCCATATCATGAAAATGTGTGGAACATGAGATCCCATGAGTACCCCAAAGAGGGTTCATAAGAACTCTATCCAATTTGGCCCAAAGGGGACCCCTATTCCAAGTAAGAAATTCACCCGTAGAAGGGGTGTCAACTAGATTAGCTTGCACTTTAAGGTCAATTAAATCTTGCATTTGGTAAGCCGAGGGGGGGGGGGGGGGGTAGGACCAACCCTCTCATTTGGGCTACAAACACAGTTGAAGTCCCCCATGACAAGCCAAGGCTTATCAATAGAAGATTCCAAACGAGCAATATGATCCCAAAGCACCTTCCTTTCAACAATAGAATAAAGAGCATATACAAAGGTGACATAGAAGACAAGTTGAGTAGTAAGACATTTAACCTCACAATGAATATGTTGCTTATCAATTTCTAGCACATTAACATGAACAAGGTTAAGATTCCAAAGAACAACTATACGACCACCATCAATCTTATCAAAGTTAGTAGTAGATGACCAAGAAGGCCATTTATTACTACGGAACTCTTCAAAGTTTGGGGTGCTCAATTTAGTTTCAAGAAGACAACATATATGTACATTATTAGACTTCACAAAATTTAAGATAAGGTTTTGTTTGGAGACCTTATTGAGGCCTCGGACATTCCAAGATGACACAATCATTAAGAACTTTTGGGGGTGTGCCTCCTCCACTTCTTCCTTTCATTTCGTGCCTCGGGCAGCATGGGCTTCTTTGGTTCCCTTGGAGTGTACCTAGTAATAAAAAGCAAATAATATGGTAGTTCAAAGAAAGAAGAGTTAAAAACATACCCCTCATCCGTTTGTAAGCTTCCGGGAAGAGCTAAGATGCATTCCTTCGTGAAATTGATTGCCTTAGTGTTAGTAGCTTGATCTTGGACACTAAGATAGTTATCAAGTCTAACCATCATATCTTTGACCTCTTCAAGGTGCATTAGATGGATGTTAGGTGGCTGATCTTCCAAGAATTCAACTTTGGTAATAACATCATCGAGATAAGCATCTCTAATATCATGGACCACACGTGCTTGATCAAGCTTGACCTTCCTTGGATCCTTAACCTTGCATGAGTTCCCTCTTGGGCAGCCTTCCTCAAAGAATCTATTGAGATAGTGTCTATAGACACCCCTCATAAAAGTAGGTCCGAAGGTATACCCTTGGTCATGTGGTGTAACATCCGGTAGTTTTTCAAGGCAATCTTTTGTGAAGAAGACACCCGGTGCCTTATGGTCAACAATGCTAAGGTTATGTCCAAGCTTTAAAACAGTTGCTCCTTCATCCATCTTCTTAATATGCTTAACTTTGATGATAGGGCTTGAGAAATCCAAAGCGGGATCCATATCAATGATGACTTCATCCGAGAAGATTTTGTCAAAAGCATCCACCTTTCTTTCGGATTGGTCCTCTAGATCATTGTCTTCTTCTTGTGTTGTGTAGCCGGATGATGTAGCCATTGTCTCCTTAGGGATGTTTCTCTTACCATACCTCACCGCCTTGATGAGTTTGAAGAAAGGGTGTTCCTTTGATGGGGTCTTATTAGGTCTCGGATATTTGTCACTTCCTTCTATGATGGGTTGCTTTCCTTTGTCAATACTTGTTGTTGATGGTTCCACCACCCCTTCCTTGTTAGAGATCTCTTGAGCTTCATGTTGGGCTTTCTTTGCTTCCCTCTCTTTCATTTCAATGTCGGCTAAGACCTTGCAAGTAAAACAATGGTGGCCAAAGCATTTGCAATGAAAACAATAATTAGGGAAAGTTTCATACCTCACATATTGAGTGTGTAACCTCCCATTTGGCAGCCTGATTTGTAGTTTAAGTGGAGGAGGTTTAGAGGCATCAACCTCAATCAAGACCCTTGCAAAGGAAGATCTAGCTTTTTCCAAAGTCACCCTATCCGTAGTAATAGGCGTGCCAACTCTAGAAGCAACTTCACTAATGCATTCTTCGTCCCAAATCCTCATTGGTAGATGTGGGAAAAGTACCCATATTGGAACCTTTAGGAACTCTTCATCATCCATTGAGAAATCCTCGGAGAGAGTCTTTAGGTGGACAATCTTTCCAAAAAGGTAGTACGGTCCTTCCATAAGAACCTTGGCCCTATCATCATCATTTTGAAATTTAAAGATTACCCAACCCTTATCATGGGATCTCACTCGACAAGGTACTCCCCATCTTTGGACCATTTCATGGATACTCTTTAGTCTGGGAAAACGCCCATCAAAATACACCATGAGACAATGACCCCAAATTTCAATCATGGAGGAGATCTTTCGGTTAGAAAGGTCAATTACATCCCCTTTTGGTTCAATAAAGTGCAATTTCATACCCTTGTCCGGTTGTCTATTGTCTTTAAAGAGAGACACAAATGAGGGCTTATCCCCGGGTTTCCCCCATTTGGATGCCGCGGCATTTGGTTCCACCGGGACAATGGGTTCAACCGGGGCAATAGCATCAATTTTTGGTACGGTATCAATCGGATTGGGGAGGACCTGTTCAATAACTGTTTGTTGGCAGTCTTCCAACACATGGAGAGCAAGGGGGTCAACAATATATTCACTCACATTTTCCTCAATCACATCTTCAACAATAACCTCATCTAATTGGTCATCCACCAAAACATCATTCGTAACAATAGGGGAGGGTAAAGATGATACCTCCTCAACACGGGTGGCCTCAATATGTGAAGGATCCGGAGCAATGGAGTTCGGTAGAGTAGGATCCTCACTAGTCCCACAATCAGCACCTTCGGTAGAAAAGGTAGAGCTAACCTTGTCAACATTAGAATCCATTTTGGTGTCAAGAATTTCCTTTGGAATGTCCTCCTTTCTTTCACGGCTTGAGCTTGCTACGGCATCATCAATCTCCTTACCTTGATTCTTAATTCGAAGACGTGAAGACGCCTTGGTAGGTCGAGAACTAGAAGGGGACTTCTTTTTCTTACCCCCCATGATGGAAGGGGAAGCTAGAGGAAAGCCACCCCTCCGAGAGCAAAAAAACCTTTGTCCGCCAAAGAAGTAGGTGATCGTTGGGGAAGATGACCAAAATGAAAACTTGGCCGATGATGGCGGAGGTTAGTAAAAGTTAATCCCCACAGCTAGGAGAAGCTAGAACTACCTTCAAAACTGAATTCCAGCCGGAGAAACGCCCTAGGGAGGCGTTGACCTTCCTCGGTGAATAGTGTTTCCGCAGGTGTAAAATGGTGTTTCCAAGCTCAAAAACTTCAAATCCGAGCTCAAATTTTAGGAATAATACAACCCAACCAGAGTAGGAGGTAGTATAACTAAAATCCAAGCTCAAAAGGAAAGAAATCGAGGAAATCTTCATAACTTATATTAGAAATGTATAGTCGTCAGAAGTATGTCAATGCTGCATTATAGTTGTACATAAATATCTTGCATTTTATCATTATAATATGTGCATTTTAGAAGTTTGTGTATTGCACCATATTAGAAATTTATCTGCACTTTAAAAGTTCATACTGCATCTTAACGCTATGTCATCTGCATTTTAGGAGCTCGTATGTTGCATTTTATTATCAATGTGAGAACACCATAACTATTTCAGTCAGATTAAGTTAGTAGCACTTAAACAATTTTTATTTTGTATAAATACATTAAAATATGATGAAACTCATAAAAAAAACAAAGATTTTCTAAAATGCAAAATTTCATGAGGACAAAGGAGTAGGAGATGGAGATAAATTAAAAGTAAATAGACATTTACATATGGGTGAATAATTCAATTCTTAATTAACCTTTTATTTTTAAAACTTAAAATATTAAGATTATGGAAATTGCATTATATATTGATAACATGTGCACACTTTATATTAGAACTTCTAACATGCATATTAAATTTGTAAGAAGTGAACACATGCAAAAGTGTCTGCATATTAAAGTTACGAAATGTGCATAATAAGATTAATATATGTGCATATTATTGTTACGAGATATATGAAATTGCATTAACGTATGTTGCATTTTCTTATCATTATGACTCGTGCATATTAGAAGTTGTATATTGACTTTAGTCAGATGAGCTCCCATTTTCACTTTAGAAGTTACTACATCTTATCGTTGTGTCATTTGCATTATATAGTCAATTGAGATGCATATATACAAAATTCATGAGGTTACATAATGCATAAAACATGATCAACGTGAGAACACCATAACTATTTCAGGTAGATTAAGCTAGTAGCACTTAAACATTTTTTATTTTGTATAAATACGAATTTGATGAATTTCATGAAGACAAAAATCAAAACGTTAAAATATGATTAATCTCATAAAAACAAAAAAAAGATTTTCTAAAATGCAAAATTTCATGAGGACGAAGGAGTAGGAGATGGAGATAAATTAAAAAAAGAATTCACGAAACTATATAGGGTTTAATATCGGAACCCATGGTCTCCCCTGTTAATGGTGGTGAAGAAGTTATACCCAAAGCAAATTTGTACGATGGAGAAGAAACAAAATTTTGAGATGAGAATGAACTAAAGCTTCAATACCGAAGAAAGAAGAAAAGAAAACAATAATGAAGAAGCAGTTATGGAAAGAGAACATGTTTTGTTTCTAAAATTAAAACAAACTAAAAAGACTTAAAGACCCCTCAATTGATTAAGTTAAACAACTGCCTCTGACATTGAACACATGTAAGATCAAAGGAAATGGATGGCTAGGATTAGTTTGTAGGTTAGCAAATTAAGAAGGGGTTGTATTTGATCTCAATTATATATATATATATATATATATATATATATGTATATATGTATATATACATATATATATACATATACATACATATGGTGAGATCACATACAAACCATGCTTAATTTACTAATCTACAAACTCAATAATATGCAATACTTTGAACTCCAATATGCAGTACAAATAATGTAAAGATGTACTCTTTGAACTTCAATATGTTTTCCTTGTCGGAAATCGGAATTCCCACAGAGGATGATATAGTCCTGTTGTATTTGTTGTGGAACCTTATTGCATTCCGCAGGTACGGTTGGTAAATTTTGGCATTCGGGCGGGATGTTTTGTATCTTTGAAGCGCCTCAGCCAATTGATGTGGCGATTCAAGCCTCGCGTCAACCGGGTAAAGGAAGTAGTCAGTTTCATCTCGAGGTTGCTTGGATTGACTTCTTGTGATCATGGGATGAGAACTGTATCCCACCTCATAGTATAGTTGTCTGTCCTCTTGGGGTGTCTTTGATAGTTTTTTTTGTTGATTACCTGTGTGAATCCCTCTGGATAGTCAGGCTCGGTACCCTGAAAATTTGTAACATTAGAAAATTGATGGATAATACGGGGGTCCTCAGATATAGCCTCATCATTGGACAAATAAGTGGTTACTGCAGTATCATGAATCAGTTCACATTCATTGGGATCAGAATTAAGTTCATCATATCCTGTATATGTTTTGTGGTTTCTGTTGGCAACAGTAGCTTCAATCAAGTGAGTATCAGTGGGCACCGTCATTTCCGGATGAACTACACCAACAGTTACCGCCTTGCTAACAGTTACCAACTTGTTAGAGGTGGCCACCGTGGGTTGTTCATTATTTAAGACAAGGTTTGTAGAAGTGGCATTGGTGCCAGATTGACACGCATTAGGACTCAGTTCACATTCAAATTTTTTATCAAAGGCAACCTGTACAATAGAGGTTTGGCTGGTAACCAGAGGTTGGTTAGCCCCAGCGCAAACTGGAATTTGTAAAACCTCAGGGGCAGTGATCTGGACATCAACAAGGGACTGAAAAACCACCGGGGTTTTAAATTGAGTCTCAACAGGTGTGATAACCTGTGAGTTCACAATAGCCTTAAAAATTGCAGGGGCATTTGGCGTTGCATCAACAGGCGTTTCAAAAGCATCTGACGCAGGAACCTGGTAATCAACAGGTTGAAGAACCTGAGTATCAACATTGGCATCAAATAGGGGAGCCTCAACAGAAAAGGTATCATTAGCAGCAGAAACACCTACAACAGGACCCTTAACCACAGGTGCCCGAATTGCTTCAGGTACCTTAACAGCAGGAGCTTCCACAATTGGGGCACTTAATTCACAGACCTGGGCTTGTAAAGGCATCAAAGGTATTGGTTGTGACACTGCACCTGAACGTCCTTGAAATTCAAATTTAATTTCAAAGCTTATGTATTGAATTTCCCTATTTTCGAACAATTGTAAAATGATTAAAAATTTTCAGAACATATGATTAATCGTATTACTATTTGGGCTCATATAATGGTAATGGACTTCTAAATAATTAATTGGGCCATATTATAATATTGGGGCCCAACATTCTTAAATAAAGATATACAACCCCTCGATACAATGTAAGAGCGGTCGGGCAGCCCAAATGTTATTTTGGGCCTAACCTGCTAAAAATAGCAATTATCCAAGAATGGCGTCCTAGACCCACTGGAGGGTGACCCACACGGTTAGTAGCTCAGCTACATGAATATTAATGTCATAAATAAGTGATAGAATGATTGGAGAAGAATACAAATGCCTATGGTCCCATCTTTGGCATTATTAGGCTAAATAATGGGAATATAATTTTCTTTTATAATTATACATCATATAAATTATTGGGACTATCTAAATAATATGATGTAGAAGGTTGACTTGATCTAAATAAATGAGGATAAATACAAAAAGTACATCTTATTACAAAGGACAAAAACAATAGGACCCATCTTTCCACTTTTGGAAGTATTGGTAGATATTTTGCTCCCAAATTAATTAGGGGACATAAGAAGGCACCCCACACCTTCCTAGAACCTTAAAAACAGGTAGAATAAGTTATAACACATAAATGGGTAGGACCTATTGAGTGGTGAGCTCAAGCAATACAAAAAGGAAATAAAAGAGGGGGACCATCCCATGTTTGATTGGAATCAAATACACTACCCTTTCTTTTTGTGAACAACACATTAGTTATCATCGTTGTTGGGAGATACTAGAGCCTTATCACAACCTCCAGTCGGACTCTTATCTTGGGAGGAGAGGATAAGAGCTCACAACACACAAAAAAAGGGGATAAAGCATTCTGGCCGCAAGGAGGATTTCCAGTGCGAAGGTCTTCTTGTTCGACTCGTATATGGAATTTTACTCATCCAAAAAGGGATTGTGAAGTTCCCATTGAAAGATCTCGAAATGAGGAACCCATAGAAGTGCGGTTTGAAGAAAACGGAGCAGCTTAAGGCCTCCAAATCATCCGAACAAAACTCAATCTCGCAGAATACGGTTTTGTATTCAAAGTAAGTTTGAATCCAAAACCTTCCTTTCTATTGTCTAAATCGGTATAAATGATTGAGGAACTATTGTAAACTTGTTGAGGTGTATAAAATGTTGTTATAAAGTGATTTTATTTGTTGGAAAGGTTAGATACTAACCTAGAACAAACCTTGAAAGGTTAGGAAACGTTTTCGCCGGAAAACATTTATTCTAGGGACTGTTTTTGCATCATTGGATAAGTGTTGAACTAGCACCTTGAGGAGGCTGTCTAAACATCAATTCTAAGAAAGGAATCAGTTCTCAAACTTCCTTGGCCGAAGCTTTGAGCATTGGATTAAAAAGGAATGGTTTAAAGCTCATTTGAGGTGAGGATCGACATCTAGTTGCTTACAACTTGTAGGTTAAGCATGAGATTACATAAATGTCTAAATCATATTTTTCATGGATTATAATGACTGATTATTGATGAAATAATGATGTATTAGATAAGGAATGAAATTGCAAATGGTTTGGAAATCATATTGATAAAAATGGAGTTAAATGAACTATTGTGTGAAATAGGCATTTTTACTCATGTGTGAATTGTGTAGGTACATAAATGATTATTTATGTATTACATTGGATGATTAAGTTGCTTCTACATATCTCTAAATATGTAGGGATTTACGAATGAAATATATGATTGATGGGAATAATCTTAATAGTATTGAAATACTAGTTAATGATTGTTTGTAATTGTTAAAGAATTGAATCTAAGGATTTGATTGTAAGTGATGTACTTGATTGTGGTTCAAGTGACTAAATTGACGTAATATGATGTAAGATCATGATGAGGCAGTCCGTAAGGATGTAAGGAGATGTACTTGAGCCCGATGCTCTAGAATTGCATTGAGTAGACATAAGGTTTAGGTTCAGCCCATGTAAGGAGATGTACTTGAGCCCGATGCTCTAGAATTGCATGGGTGAACATGACACTGGAGATTGGGGGATTAATTAACTGGTAGACATAAGATTTAGGTTCAGCCCATGTAAAGAGATGTACTTGAGCCCGATGCTCTAGAATTGCATGGGTGAACATGACACTGGAGATTGGTGGAGTAATTAACTGGTAGACATAAGGTTTAGGTTCAGCCCATGTAAGGAGATGTACTTGAGCCCGATGCTCTAGAATTGCATGTGTGAACATGACATTGGAGATTGGTGAAGTGATTAACTTGCGATTGATGTGAATGGTGATGTAGTCGAGTTGGACTCGAGAAATGCAAACATACGTGTTAGGGTTGAACCCTATGTATTTTCGTGACTAGGGTCACGGGGTTTGGGTTATGTTTTGTAAATAAACCTTAGGCCTAAAGGCCGACTACTTGACTTTATATATAAAGTGAGTATATTTTGAAAAGGGATAACTTGGGGTTACGGCCTAGATTATATTATCACCCTATTTGAGGGTCTTGTGTTTGAAATACTTGTTGTATATCTATTAGATGCCATCCACACCAGCACTTTATAGCCCTATAGAGTGCTGACCCCTTCGGGGGCGTCCCACCACCATTTCAGGTTGAGGCTAGAGCTTGCTTCCTGTGCTCGTTGCTCGAGTGATCACCATGGAGAGAAGACTTGGTTTGTGCTTTCTCCATTCTGTTTTGAACATTAATAAACATGCTCATGGATATTTTCACTATAGAGCATGCGTGCTCATGTTTGCCCCGTGTGGCATTTGTTTTTTAAACTATGCTTTCTGCTGCGTAATGAATTGCTTATTATGTATGTTTATGGATGACTTATGTGTGAATGATATTCGAGACGCCTTGTATAATATGGATGAGTTAGACTATGGTTGACTATTCGTATTGTACGGCGGGTTGTTGACGTGTCCGGATAGGTCCAGGGCGTGACATTGGTTCCCTATTCAAATCGGTTTGGTGGCACATAGATTTTTCGTGTCCAAAACGAGAGCAAGAATTACAGTAAATTGGGAGTTGTTCGTACAGTACACGTTGAAAGAAGCCTGTATTCCCATTTCCAATCCATATTTTAGAGGGTAAAACTTTAGAGACATCAATTTCAACACAAAATCTGGCATTAGATGGTCTCGTGAAATTTGCAGTTGGAGAATCAGTGAGAAGTGGTCTCCCCAAAAGACCAACTATGTGGAAGAGTGCCCTGCCGTCGTGAAGGTGAACAGGCAGCCCCTCGAGGGCCACCCAAACTGGGGCCAAAGGGGAATCACAATTGACCGAGAAGGAGGGGGTCCGACGGATTAGGGTCATCGCAATTTCGTAAAAATCCCAAGACTTTTTAATCCAAAATCATTGGAAATCTGAATCGGATTGGAAATTAAAGAGAATCATGTGCGGTCGGAGAAGACCGAAGGAATAGGCATGTGAAAAACCTAGGGCCGCCATAGCTTTCCGAATCTCTATGAGGGGTGGCCTGCCTTTCGGAAAGGTTCCCACAAGAGCGTACTGCAAAGAGGTCGATAATACCTGAATATCCGAATCAGAGAAATTGACAGACGGGAAACCTCTAAATCGCCCTGTCTTGCCATCGATAGATTGGTAGTCTACACTTGCGAAAGAAATGGGTTGAGCCTGCACGCGTTGGCCTGGGAGAGGATCCCTAACCACCACCGCATAGGAGATCTTCGCCGTAGCTTGCATCGGGCCGATTCCCTCTGCCGGCGGCATTACTGCCGCACTGGCTTCAGGTTGTCGGTCGAGAAAGTGTCGCGGGAAGTCCTAGAGAGAAGACAGAGTGTTTTGTGTGCTAAAAGTGCTCTCTTTGAACTTCAATATGCAATACAAATAATCTAAATATGAAACTACTATTTTATGGCATAAATAATATGAAATACTATGAACTTCAATGTGCAATACAAATAATGTAAAGATAATTTGAATGGGATGACTAGTTTGTATGTGATCCTACGCATGCATCTTTACATTATTTTTACTGCATATTGAAGTTCAACGTGCTGCATATTATTGAGTTTGTATGTTAGTATTTTAAGCATGGCATGTATTTGATCTCTTATATATATATATATATATATATATATATATATATATATATATATATATATATATATATATATATAGTTTGTACAAATGAGCAAAAGTGTGTACAACAAGTATTGCAAGTCAATCAATGTAAATTAGTAACTTGCCCTTGTAAACACTAATTCCCTCGACTGCCTTCTTCGACGTGGTCTGGGGCGTTTTTATGAAGGGTAGTGCGGAAGTTGACAGTGGTGCTCTGGCTTAGTGGCAACAGTGCCTCCGGCTGCCTTCTTTGATGTGAAAGTGGCGTCTACTGCACCCTTGGGGATTTGGCGGGGATCCACCATGGCTTGTTTGGAGTTCTTGGTTCTTCCCATTTTTGGAGGGTGGTTTTTTTTTACTGAAGCAAGCGTGGATGGTTGTAACTTGCACTACAAGAAAAAGCCTTACTTGCGTCCAAAGTTTTTGCGTCAACGTATGTGAACACAAATAACTTGTTTTATGCATCAACTTGTGGAAGCCAAAGGGTTTACTAAAAAAATTATGAAAATATATTGGCGAATAATATAGGTGTTGAGGCTAATAATAGTTACGATGTATTTGAGTTTTCGAATGGCTAAAAAACCCTACCCTTGCTAGAAATTAAACTTGGCTTAGCCCAATAATTGGGTCCATTAGATGTTAACTTAT